AACACTGTCAGCGGGGGAGAGAAAAGTGTTATCAGAAATAGTTGTTCTTCAAAGTTAAATCACTCAGTGATTTTATAAAGAGTAAAAGATAAGAGATCACACTACAAACCGAGTGCTGTTGAAATTTTCTTTCTGAGAACAAAGTTGTTTGTTTTGTTAAACAGGGGAAGGGGAGAGAAAGTAAAAACCTAAAATACCTTGACTCTCTCAACTCAGCTTTCTGCAAAGCTAAAAATAACTCCGATTGCGTTCAGGCTGAGCAGCTGCAGCTACGGATAAGCTCAATCACGAGGACAGGACTCCCATTCCAATGACGGAGGTTTCATTTCGGTTCACTCACGGGGCCATTTCAAAGGTCTTTTTCCAGCATCATCACCTCAAGAGTGGGAGCTGTACAGTGGATCTTTGCTAGATGCAGAAAGACCTGGGACTGGTCTGATTGACATCGGTGGGATTTTTGCTGTTTCATGGGATCTGGATTTTACCCTGACTAATTTTCTGCTGCTCTGGTAGAGTGAGATCCTCCTGCGTCTGGCAGCTAAACCTCCCTTCACGTGCAGCTCCCACTTCATTCCCAGTGGCCTGGCCATACTATTACTCTTTTGATTTGAGATCTAAAGGTAGTTTCAGACATTTGCTTTGGATTGTCATTTTAAATTAAAAAAAACCCCCACCTCTACAGCAACTTCAATGGTCATAAAATAAAATAAAATAGTATAAAATAATAAGGCATGAGGCTGGTTCCACTTAGTGTGCTTTCTCATTTGCTGATTGACATTCTCTGGAGAGCAATTAGCTTGCTTTAAAGCAAAGTAATAATTGAGAATATATATTTATGTTTTCTGCTGTCAATATTCCACGACTTAGTTTTCCCTCCTCTTGCCTTCCACCACATATTTTAGAAAACACTAGAGCTAAAACGCTTTGAGATGTCTATTCCAAAAACACAGAAGAGAGAACGTTCACCGAAGATTTGGAGGAAAACTCACACGATTATCTATCAGATAAACACTGAAGTCTGTTTTCCCCTAAGTTTGTTAAGGAGGGTTGCCTGTCCTCAACTTTCCAGTCAGATAAAATTCTGCTGGCTCCTTGATGGGACTGTCGAGGATCAAGACATATTTTCCTTTTGTTGACACGCAGCACTGAAACGTGTTTCTTTGGTGTGCTGAAACTAGACATGTCACTGCTCAGCGGAGGACATGAAGTGCACAGCCTTCGGGTTGCTGTGGAGCTCCAAGCTTCAGATCTTTACTGGAGCGAACTTCAAATAACTTCTTTTCCTTTTTTTTAAAGCTGTTAACGCAGTGGGTGCTGACACCTGCTGCAGCAGCCTGTGCAAATGGGTGGCTTGTTGCCTGCTGTCCCTGACAGGATGAAGCCCGTCAGCACACGCGTGGGAGGACACGGCGCGTCCCGCGGGTGTGCTGCTGGCTGTGCCTCTGTCACAGCCGCTGCGTTGCGGGCGGGAGCTGAGGAGGCAGTTTGAAGCGTGTGGCTCTGTTGGGTTTCCACTGCCAAAATCTAGCGGATGGATGATCCCATCAAAGCAAAATGTAAAATTTAAGCGATACAGGTTAATGGGGTGTGATCCTGTTCTGCCTGAGATGACAGCTATGGTTTGGCCTGGGGCACCTCCTAGATGGCTGATTCCCAGATCTGGATCGCATTGTGCAAAATGCTGCACAAATATGGAGTAAAAAGAAGGTTTTCAGGGAAAACTCTATGTGCAAACAGACTCTACCTGAAGTGTTAGAACTCAGTGTGAATGAAACAACATGTTGCAGTATGAGATCTGTGGGCTTTATTGACTGGTCAGGGAAACAGCATGGTCCCTTCCTGGATAAATTAGGCAGCTAATGCTCTCACGAACACGAGGAAGACATTGCAAAGCCGTCCCGGCAGCCTTGAGGAGAGCTGTCAGCATGAGAGCCTACAGTGCAGCCATCTCTCATCTGTCTGCAAAGCTACAGGAGGTGAAGTAAGAAGGAAGAGGAAGCTGTGATCTGAATAGGAAACGAGGAGATACTGAGGAAAGGTCATTAGCACCAGATCAAGTGAGCAGTATCAATTAATCTTCAAGACACTTGAAATGCTTTTAAAAACAGGGTGGAGGCAGAAATGGTTTCGAGAAATAAGCCAACACTAAAGGGCCTTTAGTTTTAGTATCTCAGATGCAGCTTGTTTATAGATAGTATATAAAAGTGGAAACCGTTTTGTTGTTGACTTTTTATAGCCCACTGACTTCCTATATTTTTATAAGAGCAAAGCGAAGTCACTGTCACAAGACCCAGAGGCACTCGCGCTCTCCCTCTGGGGAGCACAGAGAAAGCCGAACACGTTCAGATGCGGCCAGGCTACTTTACCTAGTTGACATGTCCGTCCACTTTTATGGCAGTATGAAGGGGCATTTCAGAGAATTTGAGCATATTTATCTCCAATAGCACCCCACCACCCCAGCAGATACAGTTCAACCTCAAAGCAAAATGTGAAGATGAAATTGCTGCCGTGTGGTTAGGGCAAATCAGTAGCAGTCCCTCCACCCGGGCTCTGCTTCTCCACCACCGCAGGCCCACAGTCTCCTCTGCCCACGGTCTCCTCTCCCCACTTCACCCGCCAGGCTGCGCTGGCCTGGGCAGAGATGGCCTCCCAGCGTTGGCTCGATGGGAGCTGGCTGGCCTGGGGCGGAGCGAGGCCACAACATTACTGTGATACCGCAAAATAATAGTCGAACGGATTGCATTGCGCCGCGTACGACACGACACCGCCCCGACAGCCGGCAGCGCGTTGCCTTGGGGGTAGCGTACTTCCTGCCTAACGCAACTAACGTTTGCGCCGTATGAAGGTGCTAATTATTTGGTTGGGGAGCGCTCCTCCTTGTAAGCTGTCTGGCTGTTTCACTCTCAGTAGCATTTCACCATGGCTATTGCTGATGGAGGATATTCGTGGTTAGAAATGGTGAATTCATCAGTAACTACCTGATGTTGTTTACTGCCAAAAATAGCAGGTATCTAGTGTCTTTTATTTCAAGGAAAAAACAGTTTTCTACCTGGATATAAAAAGGCCTTTTTCCATACTTTAAAATCAAATCCGAAACAGGGGCAGAAATCGAAAAGGCTTGGCTTTCCAACGAGCTCAGGAGAGCCTGATTTCTCGCCACTGGCAGGATGAATCTTTTCATGTAGATACAACCTGGGGAACCTCAAACGCTCCTTGAGCAGAAAAACAAAGGTGAATCTGGTGTTCACTTTATTTCCACTCATTGTTTCTGGTGTAATATTGTGTATGAACTTTCCCTGCCGTAAGAAACTTAGACTGAGGTACCAGGCTATGTACGCTTTTATGAGGAATAATTTTCCTTGCACTGGTCAATACCTCAGTATTTTGGCATGATCCAGTGAGAATCAGGCGCCTGGACAATTTTGCTAGGCTCTTGTCTACGTTTTTAAGCATTCTAGATTGAAAATCTGGTCACGAGTGATTTGCTGAAGATCACAAGGGTCTGAACAGCATCTCCGGAAGGAGCGTTCAGCCCCTGTTTCTTCCCCCCTCCCCCATTACCCATGCTAGCACTGAGACGAGTAATTTTTTTTTCTACCAGAGACATGCAGTGAATAATTCAAATGTTTACTTGGATTTCAGCTTGTTTTTTTTTTTTTGATGTTTATGAATGTAAATTAATTACTATGCTCACTTTACAACTGGGGACCCAGATGCACAAAGTTTGCAAGAGCAGCAGTGGGAAGGGACTTGCAAAGATCATGGGGAGTAGAAAAGTCAGAGGCAGGACTATCTCCCAGTGCTTTTTAACACTGTCTAGAGTTATTCCACTCAGCCTTGGACAAGAGGCTGGAAGTACGTCTGATCCCTCTACTGCCGCGTCACTGATGAAAGCGAGAGCGATGGAGGTGGATTCATGCAGTTGCTTAAAAAGTAGGAGGGCTGACTAGACATCTGTTGTCTAGAACAAAACATTTTAGGGCTACCTTAAATTGAAGAGGATGATTTTCTTTCTGCTAATGAACCCAGAGACCATCTGCTACCAATTGCACTTGCTCATTGCACGCATCCATTAATTTTGGGTTGCTTTTTAATACGATAAAACAAGGTTTATGTGTCTTTCCGTGGTTCTGTAAGGGGCATAAGATCGTTCCCACATCTCAGAAACAAGAATATACAATTACATAATTTACGTGTGCACTGAGTCACTTCAATTAGAGTGGCTGCCAGTAGGGAACTGAGGACAAGACTTACAGATACAGAGCCAAGAACGCTAGCGATACTGTGACACGAGCTTGTTGCCCTTGGGGAGGTGTAATGGCATTAACAACTTTTGAACACTGGGAAGCATGCATTCAAGATGTGCATTATTGAGCAGATGAGCTGTAGGGTAGGCAAATTTAGAAGTCTCTGCTGGTCTGAATTAAGAACTGGGATAACTAAACATGAAGAACGATAAAAGATGAGAAAGGCCCTAAAAACAGCACTAAAAATAGCAAGCAGCATTGCTGTGCTGTCTACCTCCTCTGCGAGGACTGGGAGATGGATGGACATAGCAGGGAGGTATCACAGTGCGGCCCAGACAGCAGTGCAGGGCGGCAGCAGCCTTATACCGCAGTAACTCTGCACAGTGCAAACCTGGAACATCTCTTCAGCTGAGTTATAATACTCAGTTCTCAAGATCTGCTCCTAAAGTTTTATGGGATGCCACTTTTCTGTCTGTTGTGTTCTGAATATTCCAAGACTTTAATTTTTTTTCCCATATTGCCCTGAAAAGTTAATATTCTGAATGCTTTTATGAACCTGTATGTTACAAAAAAGATCAGCTCAACCAAATGTTTCATGCCTTTATGTAGATCAAGGAAATATCTGAGCGAGCCTTGTTTAGCTTGCAAATGTCGCAGACCTGTCCAAGAGTCTTTTCTGGTCCTTGTTGCACAAGATCATGAACCAACCTTTGCAAGGTTTAATTCTGTTTTCATCTTTGTTTTCTCTTTCAGGAGGAATCTTTGAGTATGCAGATGGCCCCAATGCCCAGGTTATGAGTGCCGAAGAGCAAGCCTTCAGATTTTCTGCCAATATTATTAATAGAAATAGAACTTTGTTGCCTAACACAACGTTAACCTATGACATTCAGAGGATACACTTCCACGACAGCTTTGAAGCAACTAAGAAAGGTAAGAGCCTAGCACACTTGTTACCAGCTTTGCGGTCATACAGCCCATTTTGGGCTGCTGTATTCGCTGAGCCAGGCTGCCAGGCCTCGGGGAGCTGGCCTGCGGAGGCGTCTGAACGTCAGGGGAACGAGTGAGTTGCCTCCTCAACCTTTCAACGAAACGCAGCTCGGCCAGAGCGCCACCGCTCGTCACGCGAGCCCGCGCGTCGGGAGCAAGCTGCAGCCCTTTCGCTCCTGACACAGAGCCAGTTCAGACACAGGGGCAGTTGCTGTTCTGGGGGAAAAAATTTAAGATTTTTTTCCCTAAAAATGCCTCAAGCCCCAAATGCAGTTGTTCTAATTTCTCAGTGAAAGCTTGAACAGTGCTAAGAAAACTATTATTTTGCAGAATTTTTTCTTTTAAAATTGATGGGGAAAATGCATTTCTTGGGGTGATTTTGATGCAAACATGGCCCTGACGGCTGTTCTCACCGCGCAGGCCCTGCCCTTACTCACATTCAGTAGTAATGGCTCTCTGGAGCGCACTCAGTTACGATCAACGGGAATACTGCCAAAGCGCTGCTCGGGGGTGAAAGCGGCAGCAGCAGGCCCTTTTTTTTGTGTTTCATGCCCCAGCCTCCATTAACGGCCCCGTATCTCGGTCAGTCCTGCCCCAACACCGTGATTCGTGCTGTGGGACCGTGCCTAGACCAGCTCCATCGGCTACCGGGGGAGACGCGGCGGCCCTCACCCGACTGGCTGACGCCAAAGCAAAGCAGGGGCCGCTGAGGGGGGCCGAGGGGCAGGATTAAAGGTTTTGGAGCTCAGTGTTAAATCAGCACCTGCTAAAGAGCTGCAGGAAAGAGGCCAAAGAAATAAGAATGGATGGGCAGCTTTCTGACTGTGAATACATGATGGAGAGGTATTTCTTCCACTTTTCCGAAGGCTCAACCACCTCTAGCACGCTGTGGCCGTCTTTCCTTGATCTACAAACTCATGCCATGCCCCTCACCCCTTTCCCAGACCATCACCTGCCATAATCCCCTCTCTCTGCCTCTCGCCATTACCGTAATTATCCAATATGCGTCCTGCTGGCAGTGCCCAGAGGCCTGTGTCCCCCCCGCTGCTCCACACCCCAGGGCAAGGATAAGGCCCCGATGCTCGTGCCACCCCACGGCCGGGCGAGGAAGGTGCTACGGGCTCTCTGCCCCTTCCGTCACTGACGGCCTCGCTCCCTTCCCTTTCCAGCCTGCGACCAGCTCGCTCTCGGGGTTGTAGCAATATTTGGACCTTCGCAAGGCTCCTGTACCAACGCCGTTCAGTCTATTTGCAATGCACTGGAAGTCCCCCACATACAACTTCGATGGAAGCATCACCCTTTGGATAACAAGGACACTTTCTACGTCAACCTGTACCCTGACTATGCTTCTCTGAGCCATGCCATTCTGGACCTGGTGCAGTACTTGAAATGGAGGTCAGCCACCGTGGTTTACGACGACAGCACAGGTAGGTCCCGGGGGCGCGCTTGGAGGAGGAGTCTGGGGGATTCTTTGTTGTGGTCCCGTTTAGCAGCTTTTCTAAGGAAGCCTTTTAGGAGCAAAGGACCCCACAAACAGCACTCAGGGCACAGCAACAGGCGGCGGCTCCCCACCCTTTCCAGCCAGCGCTGCAAAAGGCCCCGGGACTCTTTCTAAAGAATTTCTTTCACAAACTCTTTAAAAATTGGGTAGCCCTGAGCGCTACCGCTGCCGACAAAGGGTCAAGGGGAGATTAATTGGCCGCCGGTGAAACCCGGCTCAGCTCTATGCTCTCTGGCACTGCAGTGGTGTCTGGGGTTGCCATTTAGGATGCAGTTTCCCAGCCAAAAGCAAAAGCAGTTGAGAAAGTTTTTTGTTTTCTGGCTAATTCGATAAAACAGAGCTGACAAAGTTTTTCACGTAAAGAATACTGTTGACAGTGAAACAAAGCAAAGCACTGCACAGCACTATAGATTAAAAAAAGCCCCAAAACAAAAGGCGCATTGGATATCCTGTCCAACCCAATTCCACAGAACCAAATGGTTTCTTTAGGGGAGGGCTGACGAAAATGCAGCTTGACACTCCTGTTTGGCGAATGTGGGTCACAGTATGTTCCCTTCATGGCATATTCAAGTGCATTTCTTCTACTATGCACAGGGACATGCTGCAGTCTCTGTTCCTCCTTGCGCTAGGCTTCTGCTGAGTTTATTCCTGCAATGTTAGAGCCCAATAATTCCCTCTCAGCTGCATCCAGCACGGCTTTGCACCTTTTGCATAGAAGAGAAAGGAATTCTAAGGGGAGCAGGAAAATTGCAAGTTCTGATTAAGTGACCATTACAAACTACGCTATTCATAGATCTAAGCAAATTGTGATTGTTTTCTTTTGCTGTTGTGCATGGTAAATACTATGAATTTTAATTTATTGTATAGCTGATTAGCACATTCTGTCCTTTCCCATGGGTGTATTTTCTTAAGAAAGCATGTCATGATCCCTGAGATGTCAAAGATTAGGACCAATCTGCCATTCTCCTCCTCCTAAGTAGTGCAGGGACCTGAGCTCTATTTTAGCTGGATGCAGGGGCAGTAGGGAAACACCAGGAAAAGCCATTCTGCCTGAGGACAACTGTTCTCAAAATAGCTGTTTTTTTAAATGATTGACAGATGACAGCTTTGCTTTGATATATCTTTAAGAATGGTCATTAGAGGGAGGGAGGAAAGTCTTGATTGCATTCCGTAAAATAATATCAGAGAGAAATAACTTATTGTGACACCCAGCCTGCATGGCAAAGGCAGGCTTTCCTGTAACACGGTGGGTTTGTCTCTGTGCAATGCCTGAAGGCCTTATACGGCTGCAAGAGCTCATCATGGCCCCGTCACGGTACAACATCCGGCTGAAAATCCGCCAGCTCCCGCTGGACACCGACGATGCCAGGCCTCTGCTCAAGGAGATGAAGCGGGGCAGGGAATTTCGCATCATCTTCGACTGCAGCCACCTGATGGCGGCTCAGATCCTCAAGCAGGTGAGCAGGGTGTGTGGGGGGGGGTGACGGGGACAAAACGGGGGGCTGCCTAGGGACCTGAGCATGAAGCACTGGGGAGAGCCCTGCCTGGCGACAGGCAGACCTACAGCTTTTCTTCCACAGCTGTACTAAAAGGTACAGCGCAGTTTTTGAAAGAAAGGGTCATCTTAGAAAAATGGGAAGGTGGCAGCACTGAGTACTCCGGCAATGCCAAGGTCAGGATTAGGGGTGCAGCTCAGCTTTACCACCAAGAAACACCCCCTGCCCCCAAAATCCAAACGTTTTGATATTTTGCTTTTTCAGCAGTGTTACCTGAAACACAGATACACAGCTAGTAATAAAGATGGGGAAATAAACCTGTCTACACTGTTTTGGTAGCGTAGACAATTCTCACTGAATTTAATTTTTCAAGGATACTACTGGATTTCTACAGAAAACGTAGCCTTCATTGGAAAACTGGAAGTAGCAAAAAGCAACTGTCCATAAGAACTAACAAAAATGCTGCGGGACGACACAGCGTGCCCAACAGCTCTGCGAGCCAGGCAGCGTCGTGAGGGCCTGGTACCTGGCTCTGCCGGCGCGGACCCTCGCCGCCGCCGGCACCACCGCCCCGCAGCCGGAGCCGGAGCCGGAGCCGGAGCCGCCTGGGAGCAGCTTTTGTTTCGCTCGCTCTCAGCCAACAGCAGATCAGGGAAAATTCTGCTCTGGGCCACGTCTGTCACCGCGCATTTAGCCTTCTTCTAGTTTTTTATGCTTGCTGATTTTAAATGTCTTCTTTCCCTTCTGTGCTGCTTCATTCCCCCAGGTTTGTGAATACAGGAGCAGACAGAGGGGCACTGTATGAAACACTTCATTCTGGTTAGCTGTTTTCCGAGTTATGCGCATACTCCTGTGTCTTGATGCAAGAAACCACAGATTTGGTCAGACTGGAGGGTGACGGCATTCTGTGTCCGTTTATGAACACTGTGTGTAATTCTTAGACTTTAAGCCAGATGTCAGTGATTTTCCATTGATTGGCCTCTCTCCTTTCTCCCTTAGTTCCTCCACTGGCATCTTCCACATAGCAGAAGGTTTGTGGCTCACCCCAATGCTCCGCATATCTATGTGCCATTACGTTTCAGGGTCAACACGAGACAGGAAAATGCTCTCACAAAGAACGCTAAAACGCAGCTAGTAGAAGCGTTGCTCGTATCAGCCCAGCAAGAGACCACCACATAGATTAAATAAATCCCCTGAAGGGCTGCCAAAGCGAGTGCAGAGAAAGAGGCTTCTCTTGCAACCTGCTTGATGCAAAATGAAGGAAAGTGCTCAGAGAAATGTGAAAGCCTAGAAGGGGCTATTAAACAAAGCAATATGAAGGACTCATTGTCTCCTGCCTATTATTTTAACATGCTGGCTGTGTTTGGTGCTGTTCACTTATTATGCAGTTTATTATAGTTTATTGTGCCATCTGCTCTGCTCATCGCTGCGAGTGCAGAATGAGGGAAGACGGAGGAGAGGGGGGACTAGAGGGAAAGAAGTTTTCCTGAGTCCTTCTGGCTGTTTTTCTGTGTGTGTGGCTTTTTTCAGGACCCAAAGCCAGGGATTTCTGTTTTGCAATATTACAGAGTGTATTTTTCTCAAGAAAAAATTATTAAATGTTTTCAGAGTTTGGGAAGGTGTATACACCCAGATCATCCCTGGCTGGCTTCTCTGCCTATCTGAATACACCATGCTATAACCCTGGCAGGGCTCTGAGCGGAGCTGACCCTCTTGTCTCGGTCACTCTTAGCACTCACGTTTGCTGAAGGATTAGCACATTCAGAAATCTCATTTCTTCCTAACTTTTCTCCCTGAAGTGAGAAATGCACATCTGGAGCAGCCACCAGCTTTTGTCTTTTCCATAGGACGGACAAGACAAACATGTCTCTAAAACCCTTTTAAAAAACTGCCCTCCTCACACTGTGATTTGGACACTCAAAGTCAGGGCTGAGCAAAGCCAAAAGCTTCTGCACAGAACAGAGCTGCTGTGCGTTTGCTTTGCACGGTGGAAGAACAGCAGGACACGGAAAACCTGAACCGTGAAGGCAGCAGGGAAAGTGGCCCCGTGTTTTGTTTGTCCAGACTGGATACTTCACAGGCCTGAATCATCTCCTGAAACACTAACATTTATTTATTATTATTATTATTATTATTACCTACCCTTTGCAACATTTTCGTAAATACACCAGTTAAATATACAGACATGTGGCCTCTAGTGTTTCCTCCTCGCAGGCAAGTCCTGCAGTTTTTCTACCGCGCTGCCGGCCCCCGTGCAGCACCAATGACAAGTTTCTCGCAAGGTTTGTGCTGAAATGTCCAGCACCTGGCATTGATCTTAACTGTCCATCTTCAGGAAACATAACATGGTCAGAGAATTGCTGCCGACCTTCGTTAGGGTAGCTCAGTTAAGCTAAGCGCACAGCCTCCAGGCCGTCCAGATCTTGCTCCCACGTCACTTCATGCAACACCCCCAACAGACGCGAGATGCAAGGCTGTTCACAGCTAATCTGGGCAGTGTTTCGAAGCACGAGTAATCCAAGAGTCATGACACAACCGCTTCCATGGCACAAAGGGGTACAAGCCACAGCGCCACATATTCAGCGAGTCTGGCTTTCCTGGAATGACAGGCATCAAACTATTCCCTATTTTGCCCTCCTGGACAAATAAATCATTTCAGAAAACTCTTATAAAGTGCTAAGCCTGCTTATAAGACCTTCCCATGTTATCCAAGTTTTCCGGCCTTGCTCATTTTTGGTCACTTTTGAATGATTTATATCTGTTCTCTAGATTGCCAGCTTCTCTTCTTCCTGGCAGCTGGGTGCGAACAGTTGCTGCACTCTGCACCGCACAGATGTGCCTGTCTGTAATGGCGCTCCCATTCTCCTCCTGGTGTTTGCCTGTGGTTTATCCACCAGGTTTATCATTTATTTATTTCCCTGTAAACTCAGATATATTCTGCACACAGACTGCAAGTAGTTGGAAGTTGGTGCTCGTTTCTTACAGCAAGACTGGACTTTTTATCCACCCCAGAGATGATTCAGCTACAGAGTCATCACCTTGTGAATCAAAATCTCATGCTTTTGCTTTCTCTCGACTGGTTTTGCATGATCTCTTTGGCTACATCTGCACTGCTCTGTGTGCCCCGTGGTTGTGATCCTGACAGCCATCTGCACTGCTCTGTGTGCCCCGTGGCTGTGATCCCGTGGCACATTGGCCACATATCAGGACACCGTCCTGTGTGCTCCAGGTTTTTGCACCCTGGTGTGCAGGTCAGGAGAGACCGACAACCCAGTCCCATAGATCCACCAGCCTGGACGGGGAGGAGGAGGGCTGCAAGGTGTGCTGCCGTGTGGACACAGCTTCTAAAGGGTATTCCAGGCCGCAAACCATGGGATAAAGTCCCACTCTAGAGTTACTATATCTGGGCTCATAATCTGGATCCTTTCTTTTTCCCATGTTTTTTTGACATCCTGCTTCTTTTCAAACCGTCACTTTCTTCCCTGGAGCCAAATTCTGACCTAGTAATTTTAGAAAAACCAAACAGAAAACACAGGGAAGCAAATATTTCCTGGGGGGACTTGTAGCTCCTTTCTCATCATAGGAGATTTTAAAGCACTCTTGCATGTGTTTTCTCCAAAAAACACGTTCACAGAATCAGCAGCATAATCAAAACCTTGGTCCGTCTCTCATTTGGAACAATTTCAAGGTGACCCTTTTCACAGGAACATACTTCCATTCTGTGTGGTGAAGGGACTGGACAGGGTAATCCCCTTGAGGTCCTTAAGACCCTAATGATTTTGTGATAAACCTCACAGAACAGCATGTTCTGTCTCGTGTTCATTTATGCAAACCCCAGCGACGCGCATGAACCATCCCTTGTGCCAGGGCTGCGCCCCTAGAGCTTGATCTGGCCGAGAGCCAGCGGGCACAGACCATGACCTCCAAGGGCTGAGGGATGGGAGATGTCTCCCCCCAATACCTTTAGCAACCCAAGAAGTATTTCTAAATCCAGGCCTACATAGTACTTACTCTTCTGGCTATTGTACTCAGAAAGGATGGAACATACAGACGTTTCCTTACCTGAAGAGCTATATGCACATGTTACATGGGTGACAGGAGATGCAGAGCAACTGAAATACAAATACTGGATATAAAAAACCTTTTACTTTAGCTTCTTAAGCCAGCACATGATCTTGGAGCCATAAGAACAAGCTGCTTTATTGTCACTCTGCGCAGGTTTCTGTAAGATTGTCTATTGTTCGAATATCAGAGAAGGAAATACAACCCCCCGTTCGGTTGTGGCACCAGAAGCAAGCCTGTGTGGGACACGTGAGCACAGCTGTGGGCTGCAGTCAGGTGTCCCGGCTTTCTGGGGCACAAAAGCACCCAGAAAGGCCCCCGGGGTCCAGGGGAGCCGGACACTCCGGCTTTGCCACTGTTTTGGGAAGGTTCGAAGACCACAGCTCAGCTCAGCACTTAAGCATGTGCTTCCTGCTGGCTAAGCACACGCTTAACCGCTTCGCTGATGAATCCAGAATCCAGCTCCCACGCTTCGGGGTTTCTCTCTTGCCACATTTACCAGATCAGCTCTTTAGAGGTCTATTTTGCATGACTGCTGTTATATTCTTGTACCCACTCATACTAACCTCCTTTCCCTGCTCTCCTTAAGGCCATGGCAATGGGAATGATGACAGAATACTACCACTTCATCTTCACCACTCTGGTAAAGTATCTAATCTGTGCAAACACCTTTTACACTCACTGCTGAGCCTGAGCGGAAAGGGAGGAGGTACTCTGAAGAGCAGGAGAGCTGGTGGGGTGCCCTCCCTGTGTGCGCGTCGTGCGGCCGCAGGACACTACGGCGGTGGGGCGGGAAGCCCAAGGGAAAGGGATGTCTGTATTTCCCCCTCAGTCATTTTAATTTCAGTGCAACTATACAGACTCTGAAAAGATGAACATATCTGTGAATTTGCAGGGCTATAGCCTCAGGGACAGGATTTATGGGACTGAGTTTCAGTAAGAACTAGGTATGCCTCTCGCTGTGTTCGTATAGGTCTCCCTTAAACCCCAGGATCATCTCTGCTGTGGTCAATAGTTCAATATTGCAGGTTTATTTTACATGAGAAGAACTCAGCTTGAAATTAAGTTCAGTCTCATTAAACACGGGCCAGTTCTTCTCCGACTCCAGGAGGCATTTTGGTTTGGGGTTTTTGGCATGCCACTTTTGTTTCCATTTAGGAAGCTATTGTCTACTATTCTGCTGAATTTTGTGTGATTTTGAAAATCCAATTTATCTTTTTGCCTTTAGGAAAGAAACAGACTAAACTAACCCTTAAAAACTGCAACATTTATTTTTCAAATGCAAAAGACATTTTAATTACCCCTGCTGCCATTATCTATTCCAGGCAGCTTTAAGCATTTCCCAGATAACCTCCTATTAATCAGCCCCAGCTGAGCCTAGAGTACATTTCATGTGTAGGTATAGCCTGGAGGTGGGAAAAAAAGAATTATAATAAATTAATAGATAAGCAATCACAATTAATGCCACTTTCCTGAAATAACAGTTATATCATGGGAAAGATATTTTAATCTGTCATTCCTTAAGGCGATGTTTTCCTAGCTTGCAATGCATGTGCTTCAGCTTCTACAGTACTAGACCCATGGGGTGCTAATGAATTAGTCTATTATGTTATACTGAATGTTTCTAAAAGGTCCCTAGTCAATACTGAGTACAGTGTATCAACACTTGGCATGAAATGCTTCAACATTTTGCTAGGCAGCAAGACTACAGTTCGCTGACTTCAACATGAAGGGCCTTATCTCAGTCTTTTCTAACGGAGAAGGAGAAACCCTTCTGAGTCTTTGTCTAACGTATGCACAGCTTTTACATCCTATAAAGTCCTGAGCAGTGACAACCCCCTTAAGCTCGACACTTCTAGGAATTTCTCAGCAGCTTGCAAAAATGAGTCCTTACAAATACAGAAGTTTCCCTAATGCCTGTTGTCACTTCTGCTGCACGTTACAGAAAGACAGAAGCCAGCATTGCTGTGCACGAGCCGCTTCCCACGCTCTGAGCTGCTTTAAAAGTACACATCCAACCTGATTTCTCCCGATTAGGTGCTTAATTAAAGCAGCCTAGTTTTCCACTGGTGTTGATACTCGGGTATTCTTGCTAAGCTAAGCGTACCTGAGATTCATGACATTTTGAGCTCATCGGTGGGTTTTCTATTCAAACAGTGATGTACGTGTGTAATTTCCATTAGCACTATAGCAGTTTTGGGGGCCTGACCTGGGGCTGAGGCCATTACGCACAGCGCTGCACAAACACGGCCTCGACCTTCCCGCGCCACCCGCCTGCGCGAGTCCTCGCTGCACACAGACCCGGGGGAATCGGAGCTGGCAGCTTTTACCCTATGGCACACGGGCCGTCCCTGCCCCGGACACCTGCTTTGGTAGCTCCGAGCACTGTGGGTGCTAGGTCTGCTGGGGATCAAGTATCAGCATGGCCTCTCAGGAATGATGAGCTTAAGCTAGGGATGTTAACTGGGAGAGATGAGAGCATACGAAAGAAAGGGGAAGGGCCTCAGAGAAACGCTGAGACTAAAACTCCCAGAAAGGCAGTAGGATGGAGGGGACAATTAATCTGCAGCACAGAAAATAATGAATGAAGGGAAATGTAGATGAGGTGGAAAAGAGAACCAGATGTTCCAGTTCGTACAACACGGCTGCACAGGAGCAGAAACGGATACAGCAGCTTCCCCAAACTTTCTGAAAATCACCTTGCCTTCCTAATTACCCTCCAGTTCCAGGAGATGATAAATCAGGTTGCAGCTGAGATTTAAATTGGAACCAAGAAGGGAGCTAATGGGAAGCTGGCTTCCACGGGAACCTGGAGAAAGACAGGGTCAGTGGAGAGCAGCGGGATGGGGAGGGCACCCAAAATACAGGGAAGATCTGAAAGGTGGCCAGCGCTGGCAGTCTGACAGCACTGCGAAGGAGACTAGGAGGTCTGGAGCTCTGCAGATTAAATTTGTCGCATGCAGTTACATTTTAAGGGGAAATCATCTCCTTTCTGCAACCAAATATTCATTCCTCACAGCTGTTCCCAGAATACAAGCTGGTGTCTGACAAAAAGATATAAAACCTGAGAGAACAGGACTGTCTCAGTGGGTCAAGCACTGACCATTGCGCACCCCGATACCCAGATGATACAAACATCTGTCTGAGCTGACACAACTCTATTTGCCCTTAGGGAAAAAAAAAAAAAGACAATAAAAATACCCTGAACTCTTCTGTGGGTATGATTAATGACGTAGTCCCTGGCCACACGTGCAAATTAAAACACAGCATCCATCAACAGTATACCTTGGGGGCGGGGGCAAAGTCAGAGGCCAGCATTTAAGAAAAAGATCAAACCCCAAAAACTTATTAAAGGAAAATAGTTGTAAGGGATTCCTAGCTCTCCCACTGAGCATGAAGTCTCAGTCACTGGGGAGTGCTGGTTTTGCTGTGCTCAGGGCGGTGCATTTTAGGGCGATTGCTGCTCCAGGCACCCCGCTCGCCCCGGGGCGCGTGGAGCTCGCTGCGGAGGGACGCCTGCCGGGCGGGCTCGCAGCGTGGCTCTGCCTCCCCGGGGCAGTGATGAGCACCCAGCAATTCCCCTTGTTCCTTCCGCACCAGTGTGGACCATAGCATGCAAAACAGCAACAGCTATGTGCTCTCATACTGTATTTAAGCTCGGGTGTTTTAATCCCTTGTGAGAGCAATGAATATAGTTGTCATATTCATCCCCATCCTTCTATCACACAGATAGTGATGTTGCCTTTCCACCTGCTCACTTTTTTAATACCAGTGAAGACTTGCAGAAACTGTTCAGGATAACACCTGACTAAATATGTCCTATTAAACAAATGATTCCCATAAACAAAGCCCCTCCAGCCTGCCATTCCCCCTTGCGAACGCCCGGGAAGCCTCGCTCGGCTCCCTCCCAGGCCGCTCTTAGTTCCCCTGGGTCAGCTGCTCCAGGTTTTGCTGAGCAGAACAGCTGTGGGATGCTCTTGGCATGTTGTCCATCCCCAAACTACTCAGACTAGTCACTGGGCTTCGAGTTCCAGACCTCCCTGAACTGCAGGTAATGTTTAGATGTGCAGTGGAGCCAAGAGATGCATTAAAGAAGTGCACAGGCCTCCAAATGCCCCCTTCCTTGCTGCCTGCCAAGTGATGGCTTGTGGGCTGGCTGCCAGCAGAGCTGAGGACTGCCTGGCTGGGGCTTTTTTCAAATTGTATAAAGGGCACACTCATTCATTTGCAGACTGTGTAGGCTGGTCGTAATGTCAAGAAATGAGTTTTAGTTCCTCTTTGATAGCAGCCTGCAAATTGACATTCCAAATTTGGAGTTACTCTGTCATCTGCAGCACCTTGTGGGCTTCAGCACTCAGAGCAAATTCTCCGCAGAAAAGCCCTAGGGAGCTTCAGATACACGAACGAACTCTGCTTCCCCCGCCGTGGTTGCAACCCTCGTTTTTCAGTTTCAGATAGCTAGGAGCTTTGGAGATGGGACTGAATGTTTACTGCCCCAGGGAGCACGTGGGGAACTGAGAATACCACCAGAAAGTCACAGCCCTTGGCCAAGGCTTTCAGCTCATGTCCTGATACTTGCACAGTTTCAGGTGCACTGTTATCATAGCTGTTGCTATTATTATTACTGCTGCTGCTGTTATTAATTGCCTCACCCCCAGCACGTGAAACAGCACCTCACAGGCTATGATAAGGCTGTCCCGCTGCCAGAAGAGCCGCTGCCCCGAGTGCTGTTGGCCATCCTTGCCAGACAGCGTAACGGGCTGCACGGATCAATGGCCGCTGCAGCAAACAGCCGACCGGCTGCAGGACGGGACGGGTGCAC